CCCCCCCCCCCCAACGTGTTTATACACGGTTTTGTCAGCTTTCTCCTTTGTTATGGGCATACCGGTATTTAAGTGCCGGAGGATCATGAAAAGAGAACCAAATATGAATCGAGATGCAATATTTGCATGGTTTCTCGAGTAATTATTCAGCTCAGATGAACGAACTCGCGAATGACTGGTGTGCAGCACAGCAACGAAAAAAACCCAAGTGATTTCTGTTTTTGGCTCAGATTAAATTCTGCAATGAGTTGTGTGGAGGATACAAAATGTCTTTTTTTTTTCAATGTACAGTCCTTTATTGTGTGTTTACAAATCTCTAAAATATCTTGGCCTCATGCTTTCAACTTTATCTTGGCTTGCTGACCTTCCTGTTCTTTAGAGGTTTATATCGTCAAATCTTACCGTCAACCGAGACTACTTCAGGAAAATCGTTTTATAACATATCCAAAAAGTCAATTGAACACTCTCTTTATACTGCCGCTTATAAGCTCTGGGCTTATACAACTTCGTAAGGGTTTTTAAATGGGCTTATAAACGGAGAGGCTTATATTTGAGGGGGCTAATAACCGGAATGAAAAGAGCATTTGAAAAGGAGCTTTAGCAATTAAGATTTAACACATAATATTAAAATGAAGTTAAAACAAGGAAAGTTAGAGAGGGGTCTTATATCGGGGGGTCGGGGGGGGGGGGGAGGCGCTTATAAGCGGCAGTTTACGGTATTCAATTCTGTAAAGTAAACTAGCTCACTTTTATAATCCAGTCAAAACCCGCGAAAACGGCCATTCACTAGTTTGGTATTTTACCGTGTTTCTGTTTCCCCTGTGAAATAATTAACTATTCAACTGTATATAAATCAAATTTCTATGACGTTCAGCACATTTTCAGGGCACTATTACAAAACAAACATCGAAAACTATTAATCTTTTCTCACTGTTTTCGTTTTCAGTGAAGAAAAGCAGAATCGATATATTCTTTTAAAAAGTTGGTAGCGTCAAAGAAAAATATACAAAAATATTAACATGTTCAAGAATACTCGGCAGTTATTGCACAAAACTAGAGTACGTAATAACCAATTATATGAAAAAGGATACAAGGGAATAATTGTGTTATCACACAGGCAGCCCGTGGATTATGAGAAACGCTGTGTTGATTATTTTTTTCTCGCCAAGTTTTTATCCATAGGATATGAGTCGATAGCCTATTAACAGGGAACCAATCAGAGCGCGCTTTCTCATAGCCCTTTGGGCTGCTTATGAGTGACAAGCTGGAATAGCTGTGAATGTTAAGTTTTATTGTATACACGACTTGCGAATGTTCGAGTATGATTTGCATAAATGTTGGCGTTTTATGGCGGAGAATAGTTGAGGAGTCCCTCGTGCAAGGGCAAAAGTGGCTTCTTTCCGCTCCACCCCTCCCACAGGGGGGAGGGGGGAGCGAAAGGTGCGTGAGAACAAAAGAGACCGAGAAGTTTAAATCGAACCAACAGTCAACATCCCCCTCTTTAAATAGCCGTGCTCACAAATCTTCCTCCCTCCCTCCCCCTCTCCAACCTAACCATAGATCCTCTCAAAAATATTCCTCGTCAAACTTTCTCCAAAAATACTTGTGAAAATTTATGATTCGCCGAAACACCGAACCAGTCATGTCGGTATCTCTTCTCACGTTGGCTGACAATAATTTTAGTGCTTGAATGAAATTAACGACCGTTCACCCCTAAACAGCAGCACTGCAGTTTGGTTCGAATAGTAGGGTTCTATTGAAATACAATCAAATATAATTAATTAACTATCAACAGAGTCGATCGCGATCTTCTGTCCGCTTGGAGGAAGTGTCCTATGAACTAATGTATGCTGTATGTATGTACAATCGATCTCTCGCCCTTTCAACTCTAGATATAGCTTTCTCGATCCAAAGACCAATCGTCTGACTCATTGAAAGGTTCTCTTTCTGGGTCATAAACGTTCCCAGATCGAGAGTTCCCGAAAAAAGTTCTCATGGACTCCGCATAAGATGTCTGGTCATCCCAATCGCCATCTTCCTCGTCTGAGTTGTCATCGTTGTTGAGCAACCTTCTGATGGAATCTCGGCCCTTCCGTCTGTCTAGGTACATCGTGCTTTCGCTCAAACTAAATAAACTACATTTGCTGGACATTTTCTCCAAGCCGAGTCCTTTACAAGGTGTCCGTAAGTCGGTGCAGGCTCTTTCTGCCTCGTTTTCAAAATTCTTCTGCACATCGTGGACTTTGTATTTCCCCGAGCGATGCACGACAGAAATTTCCCTCAGTTCGTTGCTGATATTTCTTAAGTGCCTTCGAATGTCTTTGAAAAACGACGTCTCGATAGCTGCGTCGTTGTTGTCCAGATGTTTCTGGCAGATTAAATCGTAGGTACTCCACGACACTGCTGTGTACTTGTGGGTTTCTTCAAGTTCTGTTTTGGATTTTTCTTGTTGAGTCTCAACGCTGTAGCTGTTTCTCTTAGGAAAGAATTTGGCGTTTCTCCACGAGTCTAGCCTTTTACCCATTGCATTCTTGGCATAATCGACAAACACTTCCAACATTTTGTACTCCTCTGTGTCACGATCTGGATAAATTCTCACCTCTCTGTAAGACTCGTTCAAGATGGCCAGAAACATATTTATTAATATGCATGCCATGGCTGTCATAAACAGAAGGAAGTAGATGGGTCCAATAATCCGATTGGCGTCCTTAAGCTCGTGATAGTTCGTATCTCCCCCGATGAACATTCCGAACTGTGTTCGGAAGACTTCGGAGACGCTCGAGTACGCCTTCGTGGTGCTTCCGAAGACGAGAAGCGCAATCTGCATGAAAGCCAAGAATGCCACCATGAAAACCGCCGAGTAAGAGATGATTTTTGTTCGGCAACGTGCCATGCTTGCTGCTAAGCTAGAAATGTGTTCGTTGAACTTGAGGATCTTAAGGACTTTTACGGTTAAAATAAACACCAGAATGGCCATAAGCGCGTTTTCAAGATCTGACCACAGCACTGCGTAGTGAAAGCTTGATGTTTCAAAGGGGTTTTTGTGAATTCTGTTCACTAGCTTTGTTGTGTGATACCTTCGGAAGATCGATAACACGACTGTGGCTGTTGCCGCTAGAATTTGCGCCATTTCCACATAGGCCCACGCAGACTTGAAGTATTTACACTTTTCCTTCCAGATTTTAATTGCTTCGGCTACAATGAAGTAGAAGACCATTAGTAGGACTATCAGCTCGCAAACCGCGCTTATAGAACGCGTCCCAGTTGACCTGGCTCCGTACAATGACATGGTGTTGATTCTCTTGAATGTGGTAGCCCCGCCCAGGGGCAGAGCCTCAAAGATGTACGATGCAGCGCTAAAGAGATCTGTCGACGAGTCAAAAATCATAAACTCGACAAACACGGCCCGCGTTCTCTCGTCAATCCAGGAGTTGTTCTGCAGGTTGTGTATGACCCTTAATGCTGATGACTTTGTGTAGCCTAGATCAGCCACGAAGCCTCCTCCGCCATAGAGCCCCCTCAAGCCCTGTTGAGGAAGGTTGTGAAGCTCGTCCGACTTCTTATAACGCCAAGGTCTCGGGCACATCTCGCGCAGCGCGAATTCTGACAATAGCGCCGTTTCGTTGGCTGGAATTTGGCGCCATTTCGGCATGCTATAGCGTGTCTGGTCTTCGTCAGTCATGCTGTAAGGCGGAAGGCAGGGGCGCAATGTTGCTCTAAACTCAGGAAATCGAGGTGCAATTGGGCATGGACCTGGAGAAAAAAATGAATGAAAATTACACGAAAGAGAGGAATTCCAGAACAAGAACGTAAACAACTAATTTTTACAAGGCTTAAAGGACATATTTAAAAGAGTAAAAAAGTAGGAGTCAAACGTTTTTGACGTTATGTCATCTACGGTGTGTTTTATGGCTTATTTAAGTCAATTATTTTCACCTGCTTTAACTCTGAGTTGTCTGAGGCGAGGCATGCCGACCAGGTAGCCCGACAAGTCCGATATGAATCCATCTTTATACTCAAATGCTTGTCCATTGTACCACTTAACTTCATACATGGCAGGAACCAGGTATCTCTTTGTCCAGGCCCAGAATGTATCAGCGTTGTGAATCTGATAGAAAATAGCTAGTAAGAAGTTGTTCTGGATTTCTTGTACCAGCTCGCCAATCTATCAATTGACTGACTCATTAACTTAGTAAGTAAGCAGGGAGTTAGATTGGTAAGCAAGTGAGTAGGTTTGTAGGTTTGTAGGTTGTTAGGTAGGTAGGTAGTTAGGTAAGGAAAAAATAAGTAAGAAAATACTAATAGGAGCTTCTTCAATAGGTTTAAATACCCAGGCTTCTGGCCACTTTTCTGTGGAACTAGTGATGTGGAAATTTCCAATTTTACACTGTTACCTTGTGAAATTTGGGCAACAGTTCGTCAATGCCATTTGTCATCCAGTAGTGCCCGGTATCTCTCCTGCCGTAGCATATAACCATTAGCGCCCAGGCAAAGAGAAGGTAGAATGCGAGCTCGACGAGTATTCGTGCCATGATCAGGACTCTCAAGCGATACTCTCTAAAACGCTCCAGTTGTTGTTTGTCTGGTTTGAGTGGCTTGTGAGATTCACCCTAACATATATAAAAAGCAACGTAACAAAGCTGTTGTACGCTTCAGACGAGAGTGAATACAGGGAAGAATCAGTAAGATACGAGAAAGATTTTGGCTGGAAACGTTTGCAACCTGTGACAAATGCGGCGTGTCATGGCGGGAAACAATAAGTGCTGCGACGACGTAGTTGTCCGTTTCGTAAACGGTCGATGCCGTTTTCGTGACACTTAGAAATTTTTTCAACTGTCAACGAATTTTTCTCTACTAAATTAAAGAAAAAAAAATTTGTAAGTAACCACACAGTATCGAACCTGGAACCTTTTTCCTAACATTCCTCTTACATCACTACACTACCTGGTTGTACCGCCAAATCTCCACAAAATTTAATAAAACGTGACTTTCTTAAATATTAATGATAGAGTTGCCCCAACCATCAAATAAAAGCTAACCGCAGGCAAACCGAGTGCGTTTTGCTCTATCAACAAATTATAACCAGTTTCTATCTTGTCCAGGCCTAAACTAAAGCAGATATGGCATCGTCCATTCTGAAAGGCTTGGTTACCAATGATGGCATCGACCGTTTACAAAACGGAAATCAGCTGCGACGACGCGTCAAACTTAAGCGAGAAACATTTGAGGGCTTTCGAAACTGTTGAGAAACGGTATGTCGCGCATTAAACGGAGTGATTCTTGAGCTCAAAATACCCATTCCGGGGGCGTCTGAAGTACAGGAAAAAAACAGTGCAATGACTCTTACTTACCTTTACTTTAGAATGCGCCACAGACTTGAGTTGGCCTTTAACACTGTCATCCTCTGGCGCCTTTTTGATGATAAACGCTAACAGTGAAGCCACGATTACCACTTTGATTGGCTGAATAAATAACACGTCTTGAGTGAAGGAGACCAGAATGGAGGTGAGCCATTTATTGGACACTTCAGTGCCCCACATCATGCTGTAGAAAACGGTGAAGGCAGCTGAAGTCAGCGAGGTCAAAATACACAGAGCCCAGCCAACATACACAAAGAACCGAGGCAGAACGTAGCCTGATTTGCGTGACACTTCTTGCTCTTGCGTGAGGCTGTCACTGTTTGTGTTATAAGCTTGCGTGACCTCGCGTTTGGATCTGCTGTTACGGAATATGAACACGATCAACACGTTTACCGGAACCACTAGCACAGCACTTTGCATACCGATAATGATCTGTTGCCAGCTCAGCACCAGAGGACCGAGCTGAAAAGAGCCACTGGTGTCCTCGGCACCGAATTGATAAAACATCGCGTTAGTGACCATTACTGACATCAATACGGACAAGCAACACGACACACGTTGGACGCGCGTGAACGGACTCGTTGGAGGTCTGGTAACCACTGAAAGCCAGATATGCCCGTCACCAAACCCCGTGGACGCTCTGCTGTAAAACTTGTTTCTAAAACTGTTGATTTCTTCGTGTGACGACACATATAGGACGCGCTCGATCTTACCATCCTCCCTCTCGGCTGCCAGCCAGCGGTTGCACACAAAGTACCACGTGGTGTCGGTCTTGGGATCCCGTATGACGATTTTGCTGATGAACCATTGGGGGTTGTCGCCAGAATTGTCATGCCAGATTTTGATGTGCGATAGGTCGCCCAACGACTCCTTTAGCGACAAAATGAAGGTGTTGACGCTTCCTCGAGCAAAGAGCTTCTTGTTGCACATGGTGCTGCAGTTCAGAGGAATGACGTCAGTGTCTCGATCATCTCCGTAAATCACTATGGCGACATTAGCCGACGTACCGCATCGTCGCCACAAGCCAGTGTAGATCGACAGCTCGTAGCAATGGTTACTGGTGTTCGCATCTCCCAACGGAATCACTTGTGTCACCTAAAATTTAATAACACAATGAATTAATATCGAAGTTAATTATTGACTTAAGTTTCATTTAAGAAAAGCCTCTCTCCCCTCAACTACGAACTTTCACTTGGTCTTATTCCACCCTACAACGTCAGTCGACCTCAACGCAAGGGTGATAGTTCTTTGGCATTGGTTGATCTTGCCCTGACGAAGGGCTACCACGCGAAACATAGGCCCGGGGGAACTCCCATATAGAAAGGACATGGGTGCTCGTCGGAAAGTTTGAAAAGAGCCCCTAAGAGGTACCAAGATCCTGTTTTGTGGGCGTGGCTTGAAATGTTTTTCACCCCTAAGAGGTGCCGATTCTAAAACAAGACATTATCTCCTGTCATATTTGTTCGGCTAAATACCCTAAAAAGTACCGCAAAAGCCTCTCCTGTGGACCTTTTGAGGCTAAACACATTAAGATGTACCAAAACCGCGTTTTTAACTCCTAAAAGGTATGATGAGCACCCATGTCCCTCCATGAATATAGATTCGACTTAGGCTTTGCCCAAATTCGTCACGGCGATTAATTTACCTTTACCACCTTCAAGTTGATAAACATCACATTGTAATTATTCTTGGACCGGCTTAAAGAGATGTTAGGATAAGTCGGCAGTAAAGGTGATTTCACTTCGACTTGAAATTTTGGGCGTATGTAGAGGAGTCAAAGCTTCATCGATTGAATTGCAGTCATCAACATACACAGCGCTATTTTTGGATCGCCAACAGATCAAAGGCTTCGTCCTCTCAATCCCAAGTCAGGGATCGAAAAAGTCAGTTGATATCGTGGATCGGCATGCCCGTTCGGTAAATTATCTGTTCGGAAGGCCTTTAATCCCCTCTGATTTTCTTAAGAGAATTGTCACCTCTTCTCTAGACGTTAGCTCACCGTGCCATCCACTCCTAGGTCGGAACCCAACAGACTCGTTTATCCTAAAATTACTACCACTAATAATAATAATTACTAACCTTTTGCTTGTCACTTCTGTCCGCTCTTCGAGCAAAAACCACCGCGATTATGTATAAACCGAGCATCGCACACACAGTGGCAAGGACCACAAAGTTCTTGGTCTCCAAGATGTTACTGAAGGCGTCCCACACTTGATCAAAGTCGATGGGATTCGGAGCGACTAAGAAGTCGCCTCCAAACGCGGAGAGATGGGTGCAGAGGCACTGGATAGAGCCATTGGCTGAATCTGGGCCAACCTTAAATCAAGAAAACAACGCAAAGTAAGTTTTGGCATCTGATTGGCTAAGAAAACAACGTGGTTGCTCTTATTTGTTAAACCAGATGGCAGTAGTATTTTTCCAACCAACCACAAAGCGTAGTCCCAACGATAAGGTCACTTACCCTACAACCCTCAGATGTCCATTTCTCTTTACTCTCTGACCAATACAAACAGGCTCCCATGGAGATGGACAAAGTGTAGTTCACATCAGTGCTGGGATCAAAAACAGGGATATCCATCCTTGGTGTTGGGGGAGGGGTGGTTGGGGGATCCTTAAATTCCACGCATATTTCAGACCTTTTCTGTCTTCCGTTTTCTGAGCAGGATCTTCGTCTTCGTTTCTTTTTCCCGGAATCCTTGCTCGAGCCAGGCAATCGAATTCCGATATAATGCAAGCCAATATGGCCCGTGACGTCACTAGAAAGCGTTAGCAAATGTGGATCCTTGGTGCAGTTGAAGTATCCATCATACATTGCGGTGTGCGAAGCATCTTCAAATTTTTTCGCGCGCTTTTTGCAAGACGAAAAATCCGGGACTTCAGCCATGAAATCGTAGGTCTCAATCGTTGGCCGCTTAAGATGGCGAAAGTATACTTGTTGCCTTGTTCCATTGGACGGAACAATTTTCACGCTTAGCGTCATTTCGTCTGAGGAAATCACTACTCGGTGATATGTCATGCTGCCATTGATACTCGGTTTTACGAACGAGCTCACGGGACTTTGGTCGTCCTGTGGTCGATCGGATTTGATGTTAAGCTCGATCTCTTGAGACAGACCCGACACGTCTAATAGCTCTCCTTTCTCGTCCTTCAAGTCAATGCTGATTACGGCTGACTTCACACGACTGGCGCTTTTGTCCCACGAGAAGGGGTTATGTTTCATAGAAAGCATCTAGGAAATATTAAATCTCTTAGTACATTGCGGCTTTGTGGTTCAACAATTATAAAATCGTTCCCAGGGTCTTTGCTCACCTCATCGATCCTGAACGAAGCTAGTCATTGAATACTGTTTAAAGCAGACTCGCTGCAGCTTCTCACATTTAATTCGGCTTTGCATTGTTTCTTTTTTCTTAAACCTTTTTCTTAACGAGACTTACACACGTTTACAATTCCTAAATTTAAGGTTGAGATTGCATCCTCTTTACGTCAAGTAACAGATGACTCCTCTGACCCCGAGTAAAAATATTGTCACGTTGTCTGTTTGTCCATCTATCAGTTTCTGTCTGTCTGTCTGTCTGTCTGTCTGTCTGTTTGTCAGTCAGCCAGTCACTCCCTCAGTCTGTCTGTCTGTCTGTCTTACTGTCTGTCTGTGTATCTGTCAGTCAGTCAGTCTGTCTGTCTGTCTGTCCCTCTTTACGTTTTCATCTTCCCTAAACATTCTGTTCGACAGTGGTACTGAAAGGAATGTTGTACGAACCAGTGACAGACATAATTTCAGGACAACCTTACTCAGACGATCATACTTCACAAATTACTACTGTCTTCTTATTGCTACCTGTGTGTCCACGTGCGCCATGCCCATTGCCTTTGAGCCCAACAACTTCTCAGGGGGTGGGAATGTCACTTTGCTGCCATTTATTTTGGCGGGTTTGTCGCTGATTGCACTTGGAAGCTGTCTGTCTAACCTCATGGATATTGCCTTGGTCTCCATTTCAAGAGGCTCGTCACCAACCTCTTGCGACGATAACATGCTGTCCCCGACCTTGCTGATCAGGGTCCATGCTTTTTGGGCCAGGACTTTTGTCTGTTGAATTCAAAAACAAACACCAACTATGTTAAGAGGCTATGGGCGCTCGGATTGGTCAATAGCTACCGGCTACTTTATTGTATGTCAATTTTGCCCCCAGAGAAGCCTTCTATTTGTAAAGATGGCATAACTGTAAAATTACCAAACAAAAAGAAACAAGAACAATACAAAACAAACGAACACGTGAGCAGACCTATACTAATACTGGGCCATTGTTATCTGCGTCTGCACGCGCTGTCGCGGTAATTGAATCTCCTAGGACAGTTAAACAACATGAAATGATGCTTAGCTCATTGACGGTCCTGCTGTGTTCATTTTTCATTCCCACAAGATTGATTTTGCCGGTGCCGGTGAAAACTAGCCCTGTACGGTGAATTTGAATCCTCTACGCCCTACTGAAAGGCATCTTAGCAAATAAGCCCTTTATTCATATCTATCTAAAAAGTGAAAGAATACTAACAAAAGCTACAAACCTTTGTCACGTTAACTTTTTCTTCTTCCACCGTTTTCTCTTGCTCAGTTTTACCCAGTTCTGGAGTCTCAGGTTTTGCAACAGACGCATCGAGCACATTCCCAATTCCAAGTAGTAAATTATTTCCCGCCTTTTTCATACCATTTGGATCTTTTTCGCTTGTCTTGCCGGTGAGGTTTTGAAACTTGTTCGCCATGTTTTCCAGAACGTCGACGGAGGTCCACTGTGGAGAGGGAATTCATACAAGTATCTGTTCAGTTTCATGGTTAAACAATTAATTCTCCCTACTGATTGCCAAGTGCTATGTTGATGCTAGTTCAGATTTTTCGGTGGATAATCAAACTACCCGTCCTTTCAGGGAATGGTTGACTGGACCGAGTGAATTGTTGGGTTAAGAAAGAACCTGAAACTTTTTCAGAACACTAGACAAGTGCATACGGATTCCTTCTCGCATCCCGATGAGAACTCCCATACCGTCGTACCTTGTAGGAGTTAAAAGCAGTTTTAGTATCTCTTAGGGTGTTTAGCCTCAAAAGTTCCACGGCGGCAGCTTGTGTGGTACCGTTTAGGGTATTGAGCCGAAAAAAGTCCGTGTCAGTTTAAGTGTTGATTTAGAATCGGTACCTCTCAGGGGTGAAAAAATTTCAAGCCACGCTCACAAAACAGGATTTTGGTACCTCTTAGGGGTATTTCCGACGACCACTCTCGCCTTGCATTTTTGTATGGGAGTCCCCCCCCCCCGGTCTCACACTGATCAATCAAAGCGCAATCAATTCACTGAGTATCTTTTGAGATCCATTAACACGGCAAACCATTCTTAGGCAAGATGTCCCGGTTTTTCAGTACCTCAAAGCACTTACTGCTATTGTCGCAGTGAATTTTTGACGTCGTTCCGTGTCCAAAGGAACGAGGTTACTTTATTCGTTTAGCAGGTATTGATCACGGAAAAGCTCTTCAGGGGAGTGTTCAATAAAGTCTCATCTCATCTCATTTACCTGGGATTCTTCTGAGAGCTCTTCGCTTTTATCAGTCGCACTGGCCACTACAGAGGTCACGAGAATCAGTCCCTGAAGGTCATCAACTTTAACCTTTGATGAATGTTTGATCATCTCGTCCTTGAACTAAACAAGACGCAGGGGTACAGTTACCGTCGCGAAACAAACAAACAAGCAAATAAACAGACAAATAAATAAAAAACAAACAACGCAGTCCTCTCGTTACACCTTGTTTTTTCCCTCTCTGCGCTTCAAGCAATAGTCCTTTTATTTACAGCATGAACTTAGTTAAGAGGAAAACACGCAAAAAAACGCCATTTTATGATCCGTATACATTTTTAGATATTGTACAGTAGTTATGTAATCTTAGTTCAGTTTAGTATTTTTTTCCCCAAATGTACATTTTTACTTTGTTATTTTGTTTTCTTGGCGCACCTGTAAACTAGATGGTGCGTAATGAAGACTCTGCTTAACAAGTCTATGGGACGCTCCGTTACCATAGTAAGTGTGCGACCAATAATAATTATACATTTGTATAGCGCTAATACTATGAAATATTCAAAAGCACTTTACATAAAAAGAAGCTAAAAAACTAAAACAAAGATCTACAAAAAGCATAAATTGTGCTTAAATACAAAAATTTAAAACAGCTTATGTAACTAAGGTTTAAACTATGTCTTATATATGTCTTATCCTGCAAACACAGCCGTCGCTTACCGAATCTGGCCACTTAAGGTGTCTCAAGAAGTCGGAAACAATGGCAGACTATACCTTCGGTAGATAATTGCTCGTTGTAGAAATCCTACAATTTTTACCTTCATTTTTTCCTCGGTTTTCAATTCCTCCTCTGAAGTTTCAGACATCACAGATAACAAAGTGTTTGCTAATCGCATGGCGTTCTTGCCTCCATCTTTATTTTTTAACAGCTTGGCGATCTCGCTTTCATTTCCCACAGTGTATTGGTACAGAGTGGTCGCGTTTATAGTGTGGCTCGGGAGAACCTTTGGAAGAAACAAAGCACGTTTTCAGAGAACTTTTCTTTTCTGAAACGGCTTTCAGATTTTTGTTCATTTTTCTTTTGCAGTTTGCAGTATGAGGTGCGACGCTACGATTTGGTTCATCACACTTTTTTACTTCCTTGTCGGTGGTTAAATAATTTCCCTCGTTTGCCGTTTATTGGGTGACAGTTACACTGCGAGCTCGAGGGGCGAAGCCTCCCTGGGGGTACTCCCATGTGAAAACATGGCAAAAATTTGAATTAAACCCTTAAAGGAGACCAATCTGTAAGTAGCCCGGGCTTTATTTGACTCCTAAAGTCTGGTTCCCACTTGTGAGATACGCGTAAGACTAGTGAAATAAGCATAAGCGCAAGCACAAGAAAAGAACATTTTTCATTTTTTTTTGTGCTTATGCTTGTGCTTATTTCACTAGTGTTACGCTTATCTCACAAGTGGGAACCTGCTCATTTCATTAGTGTTATGCCTATCCCACACGTGCGAACCAGGCTTATTAGATGTCACTTTAAAGGGAAATGACAGCAATGTTTATTGTTTCTTCGAGTGCAGTTTTGAAAGGTATCTTGCGACCGGCTAAAAGTAGTGTCGTTGTGTTCTGAACACCCTAAATGAGACTAAAATCCATGATTTCCACTCCCGACGTTTTCACATGGGAGTTCCTCCTTCGCTGGGGAGCGAAACCCCGAGCTTACAGCCAAAGTCGATAGAAACCGTAGCGATCACAACTGCTTTAGCCACTGAGCAATCTAATAGACAAATACACACCATGACACAAGAGACGAATAATATTGCTATTAAACAAAATTTACATAAAGGCGCGTTTGGAAACTTTTCAGAGATTGACGAGCTCCCGGCGACTTCTGTAGAGAGGGCCCCTGATGAACAGTCAATCAGATAGCATGTTTGCCTTCCCTCGCAGTTTCCACCTGTTACATGCATTCCCTTGTCACCTGATACATGCCTTCCGCCGCTTGAGGTGTTGGCTAATATTTTGCGCTATCTATCGATCCCACCTGTCCCAAATACGTTGCAAGCTGTAGGGTTTTTCACAGTATGCTCAAATTTTCCACTATTATGGTAATGCTCGATGCTCAAAGAGTCTCACTATCGAAGAATCGAATCAGGTGAAGCATACTGAAGCCCAATTTGGAGGATCTCTTTCATGTCCAGACTACCAGGTAGTAACTGATTACATTTAGCCCGCCCAAGGCCCGGCATCACTCTTGTTCCGGCATAATTCTCGATTCTTTTGCCTCAATATTATGCTCAAGATAATGCCGGCATAATGTGTAAAACCCTAGCAACGTGTTAGGATTTCCTGTACAGTCGTCACGTAACACCTAGGAGAGGTATTGCGTGACTTACAGCCTTCACGTAACACCTAAGAGGGGTCTTGCGTGACGTCTGTGAAATGGTTGCCGCCACAAGAAACCAAGCTCACCTTGACTTCAACACTTTGGACTCCAAATCCTCCCCATTTATCCTTGACGTAAATGTCCACTTGAACAATATTTTCCTTTTTTGAGTCACCGAGGGGAAGTTTATTGGTCCTCAAAAATCTCTTGGAGCTCTGCTGAAGAATTTCATAAGCTCCGCTACTGGACGTGTAGCCAAACTGATAGATGAGGTCTTTGTCTTTGTCTAGCCAACCAGAACACGAAAATGTAAAATTCGTCGCCAAAACTATCCCTTCAGATTTATCAACGGTGCAATTTCCTCCACTGGGAGACTCATTTGTGATGAAACTGTGAGTTTCAGCACTTTTGATTTTTTCAGTTAAATTTCCGTGAAGTTCTAGTATATACGAAGCGCCTTCTGCTAACTCATTTCCATGGATTTCCAGATGAGCCAGGTCTTCGTTGTTTCTGATATCGACTGACTGGAATGTTCCATCATCCCTCTTTCGATAAAGCGACCATCGAAATTTAGTTTTGACTTGCCTACAGGCCTCACCGTTACAGGCACCTTCGAAAACCATTTTTTCCGTGGGATTTACTTTCTGTTTGCAATTTCTCTTGCATCTGTAGGGGAAAAGGTGAGTGATGACACTCTGGGTATTTTACACAAAGCGTGCAATGTTTGGAGGCTGGGGGAGGGCTGGGCGGGGCCTACACATGGGACCCACAACATGGCGGACTTGACGTAAACAACGCCATTTTGGACATCTCACTGTCACTTTCCTTTTGTTACCGGTTATTTTAGTAGCATAATCATAATTATTTCAATTGTATCATCATCAATTATTTCACTAGCATCATCACAAGGTAGGCTCAATAGGGTAATATTCTAGAAAAGGATTTTATAAATCGATGAATCAGTATGTTTCGAAAATCTGAACAGGTAGGTTTGCATTCTCTAAAGGGAATCGGACTCTTTCCATGGTTCGTGTCTTTTAACCGAATGGGGAAAATTTCTGGTACTAATAGGTCGAATTTGAACTTATTATCATAAAAAGTTCAATACAGGTTAAGATATTAACGTATGTTTTCTTACAAGGTTTCTCGAGCTTTTGCATTTGACTAGCTAAACAAGGAGGGGCTGGCTGTTTTCTATTTAGGCTTAAATGACATAACTCAAAATGATCATCAGATAACCGAATTGACATAGGCTGTTGGTGAATGCACAACTAATTGAAGTGCGAAATATGTAGTGATCAACTTAAACTTACCTTATGTCTAGAACAAAGCCATTTGAAGATTTCAGTTCAAACTCGAATGAAACATTTTCCTCTCGCTCGTCTTTTCCCAAAATCAGTTTGATCAGATAACTTTTGGGCTCCATTTGATCCAGGAACAACACTGCATTGGGCCCTGTATATTTCAGCTTTCCAGGGCCTGTACCATAACACCCGCCTCTCCCATCCGAATCTTTGCTATCTACTTGTGGCGTGACAATTGGGAGCAACGCAATGTTTCCAAAGCGCTCACCCTTTCTTGCACAGAGCCATGTATAACTCATGCCACTCTTGTTAGCCTTTGGAACATCTGGGTCAAAAGAGCTTGAGGCATCCAGCTTAAGATCTCTGTGGTACCCTTTAAGAATACTATCCAGAGGAGGGTCTGTAGATATGAATGCTTGAAGAGGTGACTCCTTGATTCGCAGAAATCCATAATCGTGGTTTATACAATCTATTGCATTTTTCATTACTGCCATCAATTCTATATAGTAGACACCATACTCAAGCGTGTGATTTAAAATTTCTTTCTGTATAACTGTTGTATTTATGAGATAAACATCTTCCATGGCAATTCTTGTAGATTTGAATGTACTTTTTCTGCCCAATTCTCCCTTGTTTGAGTTGCGTAATTTTGCCATTTTCCATGTAATGTGGGCCTTTCCTTCAATCTGACTGCTAATATTTGCTCTTACTGTGTAGGAAGATGAACGGTGGATTGTTTGAGTAGACGTGGGGTTGCGAGAAAGGCTTCCCAATGAAATGTTTGGTATTTTGCATGATTTGCCTGTTGAGTAGAGAAAGGTAATCAGTTTTAAAACCATTATAAACAACCTTGTCTAATACATGGACACATCTCTCAGGGCTATCAATAAGGGCTGTAACCTGTCGCACCTGTTATGGCTGAGCATGCATGATGGTGGATGAATCAAAACTTGATGAAAGCCCTCTCTCTAACTGGAGTCCTTGGTTATAATTTACCACTTGTAAAAATGACCTAAATGGTTGATTTGACAGGCAGTTTAAACAAATTCCTTTACTATTACTTGAGAACACAAATGCAACTGTAAAGGATAAATGTGCTGTATGTGTTGAGTGTGGGACAGAAAAAATTCAGCCCCAGTGGAATTCGAGCCCATGACATTTCATATACCAGTAGGGCACTCTAACTATTGAGCTACGAAGAGACGCAATGATCTAGGCCATTTACTTAGTTCAAATGTTAGTGTCATTAACTGGATTTGATTAATTAAGGCTTGTTTTTTTTTAATATTTGCAATTACATTAGTAAAGTATATTGCATATCTGTTTAGGAGGCTACCTGTACATGTCACTTTTATTCCATTGGGTTAGAACTTGGCCATTGTTTACAGGAAATATCACACAGGCTGATTTGGAGTTTGGGCAGGAGCAAAGGGGCTGCCAAAAATTTTAACCAACCATTTTTTCTCAGTGCCTTTCTTTATATTTGTGCTTCTTGCTCAAAAACTTATATTGTTTTCCTGGTGCCAGAGGCCAAATCTGATCACAATTTCTTCCCCTGCCAATACTGTTTAATGAACTCATTTTACTCACATTTTTTAGAAAACAATAGTTAAATAACACAAATCTGAATATTTATTTGAATATGGTGTTTTGGAGATTATTTTGGGGACTGAAGAAGTGAACAAAGCAAACCTTGAGGATCTTTTGCCGCAAAGTAGTTATGGTCAAATTTAGTGGAGGTTTTGAGCAGATTTTTGGCCTTTGCAATCATCAGCTTGGCTTGTGAATCTTGCACTCCAACTTTGAACTCAACAATCAGACTTCCAGGTCTAAATAAAAACAGGTACAAATGAGGATCTTGAGATGCTACCCTACCTTGCATAAAACATAAAAAAAATTCTTTGATTGGCCACTCCCCATTCAGGCTTTTCAGGACAATGTAATCAAACAATGATAAATAAATATTCAAATAAACATAGCTAGGTTAAGAATCCCAACTGACGAGAGGCAGACCAGTTGGCTATTTACAAACGTAGCCGAGAAGTTAAACTCGGGGCTAACGAGAACAACATCAGCTAGCAGTCAGAACGGGATTTGAACCCGGGACCTACGGGTTTCCAATCTGGCGCCACGCTGCCTCCACAAAATGAGGAGACAGCATACATGAACTTTCCTGTCTCCATTTTCCCAAATCATTTCATTTTGTAGAGTACTAGTCTAGTCTACTAGTCTCAGTAGCTTTCATTTGAATGGTTGCACGGACAGGTCTCATCGATCTAGTAGGGTCTCAAACTTTAACAATGATATTCTCAATCATTATAGGCCTGCAATGCATGCAGAAAGTTAGATAATAAAGAGCTATGCATGCACTGCAGGCCTATGATGATAGGGAATAAATCATTAGATTATGAGCTTGAGATTTCTATCGCGTAATTGTTGACGAAGGCGCTCCCCGTGTCAACTATCACGCCTAGAATTGGAGACCTGATAATTTAATTGTTTTAGTATAAATCTAATAGCGTTTCAAAACTTTATCTAAATACTCTTCACCAGGGCCTTCGAAAACGCAAAGAAGCATCCGCCATTTTGTTAACAACCGTACACTGCTGGGTTCTCAGTGTCTGCATTAATAGATAGTGGTTAGCATAGCCAATAAGAGAACGGCATTCGTGATAGAATGCTGTCAGAGTCATTAATAATATGAAATAATAAGCATCTTTTTTCATAGTATTTTGATGCTTACTTTGATTTGGATTTGTGCAACACCAAAACGGGCTTCGGCGTGGCGCAGCAACATGAAGCTTTTAAAAATCAATGAAACAGTTTGAAATTATTGATCAATACCTCAGTTGCTCAAGTTTAACAACTTGCACTCCAGGAAGCTTGCTTATTTGTTGTGCCTGCAAGAAATTTCAAAATATTAACACCAAAGCATTTAACGAGCAGATGGTTTCAGCCTGAGGCACGAAATAATGGTTCTTCACCATTTACGCAAAGAAACCGGCTCGTCAATGGTTGTGCAAACGGTAAGCAAAACTTCCCGATGGTAAGTGAGCTGATCATAATTGCAAGATAGCGGTGAAGAATTGCCAGTGGGAAGCATATTTTCAATTCGGATATTTCGGTTGGAAGTTTTGGACTACCTTAACTTTCAAGTCCGCATACTTCGGAAATTAATTTGCCAGTCGGTCGAGCCAGAATCGTCTTACCATTCACATTCTGACCAACATTTCCGGAATTTTTGCCGAGTGAATGGTAAACAACCAATATATCGAAATTGGGCTATTTCCTTTTGTGTTCATAACAATCATTTGGGCGGTATCTGAGCAACCATTTTATTATTTCGTTCATCCGGCAATTTGTTCGCCTGCTAAGACATGTTTACTTTGCCAGTTACCAACTTTAGTCTGATCAGATACTACTGCTACTATGTACCAAGCCGAACAAGTGAAGCAGGGTGAAGGACGTACGTGAAATCATGAACTGCAAATAGTTTGTTAAGTGAAGAAGCGCTCCTTTAAGCTCTTTGGAATAATAAGCAATTACAAAATACCCTGTGAGAAAGTGCATATAGTAAGATAGTCGAAGAGGTGGAGTGACAAAAACTACGGTTCTACCTCGTTCGCAAGTTTCGCTTCAATGTTTTTAAACCCTTCGGATTTTTTGTCGATCAGCATTTCCAACGTGCAGCTTTGATTTGTCCACCGGAAGTGTAACACCACGGACCTTTCTATGGATGAACAAACAAACAAACAAACAAACAAGCATAAGATAACATAGTAAATGGTTTGAACCTAGGATTATCAGTAGTTCCTATAGAATTATCGCACGCGTCTGGATGAGGGTAGTTCTGAAGAGAACTGTTGTTGGTGACTCGGTGACGTTTCGACAACCTGAGTGGAAGTAGTCTTCAGAGTCAAGTGGAAAGTGTTTGTCAGTCTATGGTGTGATAAGTCTAAGAGTCAAAACTGACCAATCAGCTTCAATGATCAAACTTATAACACCAGCGACTGACGGACACTTAAACATGACTTGTCTGAGGACTACTCCCGCTCAGGCTGCTGACTTTCTGAGAGTTTTAACACTTTTCCTGTAGTAGTTTTAACCTTTTTTTACCTTTCGTGCGCTGTCTCGTGTGTGCTAGCACGATGAAAAAGGGTCTTGATGATGTGCTGTCGAGGTTATCGGTTAGATTTTTCGACAATTTCTCAACCATCAGTTAAATTCTAAGCCCATTTCTCAACTATAAGTAGATCGGTTAACCCTCATGAAGGAGCCCTATGAACTGAGACCACGAAATTGATGCCCATAGGTTGCTTTTCATGAGAGGATTTAGCGGTGAATCAATAAAAATGGAGCGTTATCACTTGAGTGTCAAAAGTAATTAGCATTTGCTTTGGTTTTGCATTACTAAGTACATGTAAACAGATTGACTGAAAAAATTCGCGCCATTAAGTTAACTAATCAGAAGTAAAACCAAAACCAATCGTGACTTGCTCCACAGGTTTTCCAGCGCTTCGCGTCAGCTGCATGTATTTGCTTCGAGTTTTGATTGGTTCAGTGTAGTTTCCGTGTTCTTCCTGATTGGCCAGAGTGACTACTTTGGGTCTGGTTTTACGGCACTCAATTGAAAACCGTTTTACTCCGCAGTCCAGTTAAGGGCTTTGCTAGTATTCTCGTTTTGTCATTGAATACGACGTTGGTGTTTCTCTGAGTTTAATTCAACTTACTCATTGTGCATCCATATAGTTCAAATCTGAAGGCGACGTTGTTGTGGTTTGCTAGCGGCACGATGGAGACCGTCTTCACGTTTTCAGCTTCAAAGTTGTGTCTGACAATTGTATTCGAGTCGGTGTTCCCTTGAAACCCCTAGAGATTCAAAGCGTGAGATGCAACAGTTATGAATTTCACTTAGGCCCCAGCCACACTACGCCGGAGAAATTTGAAAACGCAGCTTTCTTTCTATGGTTAGGCTTACCATCCACACTAATCCGTTACGAAAACGGAGCTTTTTGAAAACGCTCTTCAAACTAGAGGAATTTGAAAGCGCCGGCTTTGTGCTTTGGTGTGGACGGAAAGCAGTTTGAAAACAGAACTTTTTCAAACCGATGACGTCAGGATAATCATTTGATTTCCCTGCCCGATTTTCCTCAAACACAAATCCAAAATGACCGGTGATTGTTGCGTTTTAAAAATTTATCCGGCGTAGTGTGTACGAAAAACATTTGATGCGTTTTCAAAGCGAAAACGCCGTTTAATTTTCAAATTTCTCCGGCGTAGCGTGGACGGGGCCTTAAAGAGCTACTGGTATGTTGGCGCAGGAGACGCTGTCATATTCGAATTTGTCATTACTATGAAAGTAGTATTTTTGTGGGATTAAGCAATACTCATCTTTTTCTTTTTTCTTGTTCACTTACGCTTGAAGGAGCTCAGTCAGTATTTTGAGTTATTTTAGCCACTTACAAAGTTACCTTTAAATTAGATAATAGTTTAGTAAGATAGAGAAACACTCGCGAGGGAATAGAAAACCATATACAAACAAGGATGGTTAAGGATGGAGGAGATTAACACGGATCACAAACTACGAACTTGAAAAATTTGGGCTAAACTTTTCAAGATGGGAATGTTGTCTCCGGTTTCTTTTCTTGTTTTCCTGAACGTTCCTGAAAGGTGCTGTTTATAAAACTACGTATGTCCATTCTCGATCAAAGATACTGTTTCTGAGAGGATTTCAGTAACTGGGAATTTCAGCCGTGTTATTCCTTCACTTTGCTATTGGAAAAAAATTACCTTAGGCCTTCCATTTCTGCCAAAGATGTAACCCTCAGCCTCTTCGTCTCCGCTCCTTTGGCGAGTGAATTTGACCCAGTACTCAGTGACCCACTCTTTGATCTCCGGATCCCCAAATCCTTGGGTTGCGACCCCTGTTACTACTGTCTCATTGTCGAATTTTACCCTGACAAACTTGTAATCGATAGGGTCGTGTTCTTTAGCCCTGTAGCCGCCAGAGCTGTTCAGTTTTGCCTCGATAGGGAGTGTCTCGTAATCATGAAACGAGTACGTAAGGAAGTTGTCCATGGCGAACTTTCCCGATGAAATCCCAAGAGGCAAGTTACATTGAGCTGCAATTCAAGCAAATCCAAATTCTTTTCTATTTTTCCTTACTCTTAATTAAATGCATTCTATAAAGCCTTATTGAAAAAAGTGGGATAAATCAGCATTAATTTTGCCCATAGTATGTAAGGATTTGATTTTATCAGAAAGACTTTGTAATAGTCAGAAAATGGGAATTTCGAACAACGTTGCACAGCAAAATAATCACTACAACATGAAAGTACATACTCTGCAGCTTTCATTTGAATGGTCACGCACCAGGGTTTCATTCACAGACTTAAAAGTTAGAACCACCTTGTACAGCATAATAAACAGCACCACATGAAAGTACTGCTCAACAGCTTTCATTTGAATAATCACACATCAGGGTTTTATTCACAGACACAAAAGTTAGAACCACCCTGTGCAGCGTGATAAACATACCGTATGAAAACACTGCTCAATAGCTTTCATTTGAGGCGCACACTAGGTTTTCATCCGCAAGACGTGCAAGTTAGAACCACCTTAATAAAGAGTACTGCATGTAAGTACTGCTCAGTGGCTTCTTTTCAATGGCTGCACTCTAGAGTTTTATTCAATAACGTGAAAGTTACAACCACCTTGTGCAGTATAATAAACGGTGCCACATACGTGGAGTAAACTTTCCTCTTTGATAGTCGCATGCAGGTGTTTCGCCATCGAATTAAAAGTGAGAAGCGCCGGCTCTAATGACTGAACGTCTGACTAGACCGTTGGTTTTCTAAAGAGCCTACCTTCGGACGGTGTTTCACCAGATTTTGTGGTTGCCTTCGGTGATACAGCGACGGTGAATGCTAGGCTTACAGAAACAATAATGAGGGAGAACGCCATGATATCCAGGGTGTTGTCTTTCCTTCCGCTGTACTAATAAAATACAAATAAAACTTTCCGTATAACCAGAAGGCAGGAGATGATTTTCAAGATAGTCGCAAGAAGGATGCAATAGTGTAGTTAATTACAACGTGACAATATATGTAGAATCTGACTAAAATATATTTAACGACAAAGTAAAAAGAAAAATGGAAAATATATCTCATTAAGGGGTGACGATAATTTTTTTACTGATTGACAAACAAGACTAAACAATCAAAATTAAGATGAAAACGTTCGCTGGCTAAAAACTTTCAAAAAAGAACATGAGCTTTCGGCTGTCAATCTGCAGCCTTCGACGGATAAAAAATGGAATGCAAAATGATAAAATATATACAAGAAAAGGCGAGATAAAAATAAGAAGAAGAACAAAAGCGAAGTAAAAATGTGTAAATTAGGTGACTATTGTTTAAAAAGGATACTATACTGATTTGGAATCGGCTTACAATTATTGTCAACATGCTTGGTAGCAGAGGTGTGCCGAAAGCTCATGCTCTTTTTTGAAATTTTTTAGGCAGCGAACGTTTTATCTTAATTTGATTATGTCTCATCCTGGCTGCGCATCAGTCTTTAAGACTAAATAGTTAGTGATTGATATCAGAATTTGCTAATTGAGTGAGGGTTTTTCCTTATGAATATAAAGTACCCCCTTGATTTTTAGCTGGAATTGAGAGAGGGTGGGAGGAGGTGTCTAATTGTAGGATGGGAAAACAATCTTCAGAACAAGAAGCTCGAAGCTTTTGGGCTTTTGAGATGATAAAGAATGTGAGAATTTTTGTCAGTGGAAAGGTGCTGTTGGATATAACAGCCATCACTTCCTGCGCAAGAAAACTTGTATGCTTAGTACACGAGATGGCAGTGACCTGGGTGTACTGGCTTTATACCATCTTTTGCATTGAACAAGTTCCTTAATTTATAGGGGAAAAATCAAAACATGTCAAAATGTTTGTGCCGAGTAAATCGCCTAATTTTGCCCTTGTTCGAAAAAGGGCTAACAAAATGGTTGATAGGGAATTTATTGATTTAATCTGTTGCGCAATTTAATCCTATCTCTTCGTTTTAGTAGGGTCATTAAATTTCAGCCCACGAATCAACACACTCGAGTGAAGCCACGCTGAATGTGCTTGAAGCTCTTCGTTAACGTGAAAACGGAGTAAAAGAATTGTACTCAAGTGAGACATTTTTCAATACTTTAAACAATTGTATGTCCCTTGTTCAACTGTAGAGTGATCTTGGCATAAATTTAGTATTGTCATCTAAGTGGTTAAAATCCTGCCGCCTAAAATATCAACGCTTATGTCGTCAACATTTGAACAAATTTGACTGATTGACGTATCTTCTGCATGGGAGGAATTTATTAATTGGTCAGAATGCCCAGCTTTCGAGTTTAAAATTTGCAATCACATCTTACTTTCCAAGATGACCCATATACATATCGATGCGCACACAATTGTTATTTTCACGTCTACAGACTAAAAAAATTGGCTATTTTTTAAAGCTTGTGGTATCTGATTTACATGCAAGTAGATGAATGTATGTAAAACATAAGCTTGTTTCGAGCTACTGGACAACACAGTAAGGAATTGGAAGGTTTAATCCGATTTGGAAACAGTGCACGAAGCCACTCGGCCGTGGATGTGCCAGTGCCAATTTAAATTTCGAATGAAGCATTTCATGTGGAACCGACGTACTTTTCATGCGCTCTTTGTACGTACATGTCGTTGGTCAGGTGTTAACTGTAGAGCCGAAATTGACGTGTGTCACTCTCCTGTGCTTTGTTGGCAGCAGTTTGAATGACATTGCGAAATACTAGTCACAGTTATCGAAACTACCGAGTGAAAATTACTCAAGAAATGCACGTGCCTTGCATTGCCAGCTGCTGGTGTTAACGGACTTAATTTTCGTACGGAGAAGAGCTTATTGTAATGGTGAATTATAGACGAATTATAAAATATATTTTCAAGACTTTTCCAGAACATGCTTAAGGATTCGTTCAAGTAATTTGTGTCTTCTTTTTTTTCTTATCCATTATTTCCCAACATAAATGACGGTTAGTTTCTTTTAGTAATGAAACACGTTGTCAGAGAGACAACCGCTTAAAATGAATCAAATCATCAACTCTGTATATTTTTTGATGCACGTTCTAGCAAATTGCTCGAAACTGAGCTAAAACTAAACGGAGTGAAAGGTAATTAATTACGAGACTGAAATATGTTGAGTTTGGGATGAAAGGTTTCAAATTTAATAAAAGAAAAGTTGTGCAAACAACCAGGGGCTGTTTTTATTTTAATTAAACTTGTCGAGATAAATGCAAAGAAGCACAATTTTTACCTTTTATTGACGCAAAGCTACAATATACGTTATTTTCAGGACATAATTTTTTTTTTGAGAATAACCAGATTCTGTTTTCATTTTTCTATATTTCTGTTCTTATATTTTGAGTAAAGCCAATTCATTTTTGTCAACGTCTGGCTTTGTTGAATTTTAAGTAGCTTACATTTTGCAAGTTGCTCTTTTTCACTTTTACGTTGGACAAACTCAGAATCATATGTCCCAAAACTGGCGATTCCAGCCTTGTAACTGAAGTCATAGGCCTAGTATAAGCCTTGCTTGAGTATCTGATGTTTAATTTAACATGGCGACCACTTTAAAAACATGAACAAATGAACTAGTGTTTAAAATGATGGATGGTCTGCAAGTGGCCTATAGCGTGGAATAACAAAAATAATTTGTTGGTAATACATGCAATGAGGAAGCCTTATCTACTTACCTTCATGAAAGTGTATTGCCACTACGTGATAGAATGGAGATCTTTCCAGCCTACATCAATACTCTCTTATCTATGGACCAAAACGAAATTTTCATTGTCAGACCTCCCTGCGAGTGGATATTGAAGTAACCAAGTGTCATTGAATATACTCAGCCTTGAACATCCAAAAATCCCCGGCACATATCCAAACATTGCTTTATGTCAACTTCGTTGGAGTGCAGTGAAAGTGCCTTTAAGAGTGTACATGTTTTGAAGTCTGTTTTCAAGGCAACACTGAAACATTGGCATATGCTTATGAGCTTTAGGAAGTGAGTTTTTTTTTAGCCTTTACAGAAGACGACGTATGTAAAACAACTTACTGGTGAAAACTGACAGCATACCTTTATTAGACCTGAGATATCGTGGTAACTCCACATCGGGTGTACTCAGTCTAATTAAACCGAATATCAGTTGTTTTCTTATTATTTTTTAGCCGCGATGACAGAAGTGATGGATTGTTGGCCGTGTATTAGGAGACGTGTAAAAAATGGTTTGATATGAGATGGCGACAGATCACGTTTTGACAACTCGTTCACATAGAAAATACTCTTGATTTTAAGACAAAACCTAGATGAAAGATTTCATGTTAGTTTGAAAGCAGAGCAATCAACTAAAAAAATCGATACGCCATGAAAAATGATGTCTCGAAGAAGTGGCCGTAGTAGAAGTAGAGAAAATGCAAAAATTTGGCATAACACAAGCTAGCTGCCTTTTCCCGCCCCCGCCCCCTCCTCCCTCCAAAATAATAGTTACAATTTGCTTTAACATTTAGTTGGACTAAAAGTAAGTTGTGGGGAAACAGAGAGCCTTTTACGGAACAGATTAAAGCTTAAATCTTTTTTTTTTCATCGAGAAGGTACTCTATATTGTTCTTAAATCCTCCATTTTGTTATGAATATGAGATGTTTGATAAATGTATTCATATATTTAAGGTTTGGTCCCTGTAACTCAACACTGTAGCAAACAATCGAGAAAAATAACCCGACTAAATCCTCACTTAACAAAATCAGTAAGTGCGAAGATAAACATGTTTCCTGAAATGAAATGCCTTTATTTGGGAAATTTCTGCTGTTCTTACTTCAACCTATGTTTATGTAAATGAAGTCAATGGCTTTGCCAATTATGAGCACGTCTCATATTTTGTTTGTGGTGTCCCATAACAAGACCAAACGTTCTGTGATTCTCGACTAGAATTTTTCAAGTAAAGCAAACGGACGCGGTTAATAACCTCGCTCTTTTGAAATACCAGTACTTAAATAGCTACTCGAGCTACTTCTAATTTTTTTTTGCAAAAATATGGAATACACTCCTTTAGGACAAAGGTAATTATAATATGTTATTCTAAAGATGCTGTTTGTACCTCTAGAAAATTAATTAGACAATTTTATGACGAAAGCAAATCCTAATCGAAAAGGCATCTTCGTGCAAACCAAACCTTCATTTGTAAAAAGGTGGGAATTGTAGGAGACACTTCAATTTAATTTTTTTTCCTGTTTTTCTTTTTTTATCTGTCATATAGAAATAGGATCTTTCACGTTGAAATGCCCAGTAAGAAATTTATGTTAAAATATGTTAGAAAACAGTCCTAAGAAAATATGCGCGCTGATTGGTTAAAAATCGTGTTTCTATAACTCGAGGGAAACACAGAACTAGCACGAGCTGTTGACGTAATGATGGCGCGAGCAAAGAGAATTTGCACTCTGACAATCAAAGTTAACAAGATGTTTTCCTTTTTTTCGTCGCGGTATTTTCTAAAAGAAATAGAAAACATGTACCGTGCTTCTATCGAGTCATAGAAACACGAGTGAAAGTTTGGGAGAACGAGAAATGATGTGGGAACACGAGCTGCAGGCTATTTCTTAACTGAAGAGCACATTGGCGACATGGAATAGTAACTCTATATCAGTTCCTCAGAAACCTTTCGCCGCCGTGGATTGCTAGATCCACAAGTACCCTTTTGAAGTTTCTATAGACTAGAATTGATCGAACAAAATATAAAGCCATTGCCAGCTGACCAGTTCAAAATACAGTGTTTTGAATTGTATTCTAATTCATTCTTTGCTTTTTTCCTTTAATAGCTTCGCAAAATGGTTTTCTGTAATTGCAAAGTTGCAAATTGAAATTAGAATAAAAATACCTTGGGATTACAAATAAATATTGTACATCCGCTTCGTTTTAAATTTCATTGTTAAAAGTTCTTTTTATGTAAACTGTCCTCCACATGAACACAACAGTATTTAGAAATAGGAGTGTGGCTTTCTCCTGTTTGTCAGTATTGTTTTGTTAGATGAAGTGCAACCTAAAAATTTGGTTCTGAGAGAAACTGAATGCTACGTTGATCATGTGTTTTGTGTGTCAGTGTTTTCTTTTCTCTAAAACGCTCAGTGCCTTCTAAGTTTGAATTTCGCTCTTTCAGTTTGTTAGTATTAAAGATCTGTGAAAATGCCTAGGTGAAAACGTCACATTCAGGACTGAACGAGAAATTTTGGCTTCAAATTTCACTTTCGCTCCATGTTAAAACATTGCTATGTAAAGAAAACACTGCGTTGACAAGATCACTGTCCATCAATACCTGTTAAAATTACTGCTAAATATAGCATGCCGATAATCTCTTTCGCGTCCGACCTGAATTGTTCTTCCTAGGTCGGCTTCTCTTTGAGTCGTACCTCGTTTAATTTCAGTTTCAGTATTTAGATGGTAATTAATTAAGATTTTAAATTTTGGTCTACAAATTCATTACCACCTTGTGGACTAAGAAAATTTATTCACTTTGTCCAGCATTGGACGCTTCCAGCTTCAGTAGATTTCGAGTTACTGTGGACTCGAACTACAAAGTGAAAAAGAAAGTTCGAAACGGCAGCACCCCGAGTTTGAGGTGAATTGCATGCCCTTAACTTGCTATTTATATTTGGTTCACCTACAAACAATTACATCTTTACTTCTTTTGAAACGTGCTAAAGTAACTCGATGTAATATCGAAAGAAAAGACTCGCCGTGACTCGGGTAGATGGTTAGAAATGTGGTTGGCTGCGGGTCAAAGAGTCCAGGGTAGCACAAGCTACTTAAAATAAGTTTCAGCATTGCACAAAAAGTTGATCATAACTGCTAGAATTTACTCATAAAATACGAAGCTATGACTGGCTACATACCGGCTCTCTCAATGGTCTTGAACTGACGGCAGGATATCGAGATGAACCTTTTAAAGCAAGCTTGGTTCTTTTGTAAAATGGTTCTATTTTAACCGATCACCCACAGTTTTCTTTAACTGCACCGATCGTTATTTGTTAATTATGACCCGATATGTGTTTCAGGACACCGCCGCTCTTTACGACTACTCGAGAACTTTTATAATTAGAGGAGACTCTCAAGTTCTGTGTAATGCAACGAAGAAGAATAAACAAATACGCTTATTTTTATGTCTTCGTGGCATGACTCTGTGGCATGCCTCCATAACATAACGGCATGACCCCAAGTATAAGTCCGTTATTAATTGAGATTATCGTGCTGAAATCCACAAGTCTAAGCTCAAGAGCTCATCTACTAAACCTCGTGTCTTAGTTTTATTTAAGGAAAGACAAAAGACGATACCTCCTCTCGTTTTGCTTTAGTTCGTTCATTGATTGCAGTCGATTATGCATCCTCGATTTAATTTTGAAGTAAGGGCCAAGTTCACAGGTCTGTGTCAAACACCTCCATCTGAATCCGATTTGCACCCTCGGCAGATATACATCTGAGGCTAATTGTATTTAAAATTTCTCTTCAATTCAAGCGACGTACGTGCTAGAATTCTTCAGCGTCCTGCTGGTGTGTGTGTGTGTTTTTTTTTTACCAGTATAAGCACGAGCGTTTGTATTGCCACACTTACTATGCATAATGAGTTCAAATGTTGCAGACGTTTACAAGTTCTGAACCAATTTTGTCTGTCTAGAATCTTTGCTTCGGTTTTGACACGATATTCGCCCAAACAACATCTCCGCAACGTTGTAAAGATTAAAGGGTATGGTATGTCCAGTCGGCAGATAGGTGCGTTGCCCTCAAAGATTCGAAAAAATTGTGCAGATTGTGATGCTTTATATATGATAATTGCTTCAAGGGTAATTACTCTATTTTTGCACATCTCCCGGGTCCATTTTACCCCATGGTGGTTTTAACATTAATACACAGCAAGCTGTACAACGTTTTCTCCCTGTGATTCCGAATACGCTAGTTTAAATGCTTTTTCTTTTGAATCAAAATCAACTGATCACGGATTTTCTTCTAGTATCTCGAAGCTTGTCAAATGGCATTCGTACAACGAATATCAGTCCGCAAATATCTCCCTATCGAAAGATTCTGTGCAATTTTGTTTTAAAGCTTTCACCTCTAAAATTTACAATATTAATAGGGAATGTTACGAAGCTTGAAGCAGCTTACTGACCTTTCGATCTTACTGATTTACTTTATCATCCGCTTACCTGCCTAGTGAAAGTTCGTCTGGTGACGAACTTTCTTAAAACTCCCGTTCTTATCTCACTCTCTCTCTCTAATTACCGATTTGTAAGACACATAGGTTTAGGAACACTTTTATTATGAGCCATATTTTTAATCACAAATAGTTTGCATATTTTTCCTTGTATAATATAATTCTTTTTTTATTGTAAAGTAATTCGTAATTCAGCCGCTCCAGCGGCTGTGACGTAAAAAATTAATGAAATATCTCATTTGATCGTTGTAATTTGCCACACAATTCTAATACTTTGAATTACATTTCTCGTACAAAGACACGTACAATCCAAAATCTCATTCTATTTCTTAAGGCAAAACTCAGAATTTATCTATCTTTTTTGTTACAAAGTCATGATAAATGGCGGCTTTTAAACATTAATGATATACATAGCCACCATGTCGCGCGTTGTATAAGCGATTAGAAATAACAAGCCCAGCGCGTAGTGGCGAGTTGGTTATAATCACGTCCCATTTACCAAGCCTTGGGAATGGAATAATTATTTCATTAAATTTCTCATTATCTTACTACTCATCACTTTTTTCTAAATGGACCAGATGATGAATCCCAAATTAGATCTGATCGCAAGTTCACGGAAGTGGTAGGTCATAGCTACGCGGACGCAGAGAAAGAAAGTGCTCCGTAAAGAGAACTTCACTGATAAAGGTGATTTTTGACAACCCTGTCGCGAAATTTTGAGTGTTGGCTTCTCAAAGATTCATTTTTCTGATTTAACAGCTTCAATCCTCTATTGAAAGGACAAGCGTCCACTAAATATAAAGCAACACGTCTTACTGAATAAAGTCGGCCTGAATGATTTATTTTGAAAATAGATTTCCATTTTCCGGGCGAAATTGAATCAGTTTTCAAAATTTTTGGTAAATCGTTTCGTGTCATTAATTTGTGCTAATTCAGTTTTTTTCATGTTGTGACGCATCTTCCATTTAATGATTCATTTAACTTAATATATTACTTAGTTAATTATGGCGTTTTGTTCGTTTTGACAGGAAGGTGCTAAAAATATTCAATGCTTTCAGTCGTCTCAAGTAATATTGACTGCTACAATCATATTGTAAATACGCCTATCGTCCATTTACCATATTTAGTAAGGGCTGGCAAACGTATTTCATGTATGAACCAAAAAGGAAGTAGAAATGCAATAGATGTACCAGACAAGTCAATTCTGTTATTTGGAGTCATTCTGTTTACGCTTAACAAGGTTGTCTTCAGCCCACGGAAAACCTAAGAG